CATTCACTAAAATGTAATTTCACATATTTCTTTTTTCTCAACTTTTAGTATATCTCATTAATGCTTTCAGCTCATCTACTTAACTAATCGACTTCTAACTCATTAATTGACTTACTAATTTAACAAGTCAGCTGAACAAGGCTCGACTCGACTCATTTACAAATATATAATCTATACTTATATAATAAAAATTAACATTTATCAAAATTAGTAACTTAATTAATGGTCAAAGTTAGTTTTGCATTTATTACTTTCCAAAATCGGTAACTCTTATGTCCATTTCACACGCTCAGCATTTATGTCCTTTTCACATGCCTTTTAATTCATTAATTATACCGATTTAATTATCATAAAATAACCCCAATTCACATGCCTCATTAATAGGGCCATAATTTTTTATGGTATAATCCCATTTCACACAAGCATCCTTATATTCAAAAACAAAATCTTATTATAAGGAGAAGATATTTCATACACCTTATCATTATTCAAAACTGATATTAAGTTTGTTATTCATTTCCTAAAACAAATAAATTATTATCTCTAAAAAACTATACAGAACATACGCTATACAGAACATATGCATATATATATGTACATATACACATATTAAATTTAAATATAGACATATTTTCTTTACAAAATAGTCTAGAAAAATCTTTTTCACACTATGTTAAATTCAAATGTTCTTAGATATGTTTTCCTTCTAAAATTGTTTAGAAAAGTTGTAGATGACTTCACATTTTTCAAAAATAATATAGAAAATTTTGAATACTTTTACATATATACTAATATAATATTTTAGGTGTTTTTAATATTAAACATGCAAATTTTATATTCTCTTATACAAAATAATGTAAATTTCATATTTTCTTATACAAAATAATTTTACATTGTTTGACCCCGAATCTTTAATTTATAATTATTAAGTATTGTTTATCCTCCTCTTTACTTTATAATTATTTTTTTTCTTTCTCTTTTTAAATAGGATCAATAGTAGTTTCCACTTCCGTCAGTGACTCAAACTCGAGATCTATTTATAATATTGTTAATTTAATATTGTTCCCGTGCATCGCACGGGGTACACACTAGTTATAATCAATAAGCTATGTAATAAGGTAAAAGCTCTATAATTCTCAAAATATTATTTTTGATCAGGCTTGCTTTTTAATGAATATAATAATCCAAAATTAAGAACAATAATCAAACTGGTCCTCCCCCTTTCACTGTTCAAGTGGCAAAAAGGTTATCTTTTTTCTCAGTAAAACAACAAATTCAACGGGTTTTAGTGGCGACACAGAAAGTAGAGCAATCATTTGATTTTCAGAAAAAAAGAATTCAAAGAGCCAAGAGTGTTTAATTCAAAAGGGAATGAAACTTGAAAAAATTCTTCATATTCTCTTTACATACAACAGTCAAAAACAAAACGTGCCTTTCTTCAGTTCTTCTTCAACCTCACAATATCCCACCAAGAAAAACAAATTGGCCCATTTAAAAATTTTAGTCATTTTGTTTTTTCATCAGGGTTTTAGTCAAGATTTGTACCAATTTGTGTTGTAGTTTGGAAGACGAAGGATAATTTATGTTCTGGAAGGCTAAGGTGAGTTAAAAATGATTCTACGAGTCGCGACCTTTTGTTTTTTTCTGTAATTTGCTTCTTATTGCTTTGGGTTCATGTTGATATTGCAGCTTTCCTTATTATTTTCTCATCTGAATCTTTTTTCTTGTCATGGTGGTTTATTTATTGATTTCTTTTGGGTGTGGCTGGAAATTTTAGTGGTAAAAGTTCGAATCTTTATTGTAATTTAATGGATACATAGAGAAATGTATTGGTTGTGATAAACTATGAGGGTGTGTACTGGAGAAATTTGTGAAGATTGGCTTATTCTAATGTTTTATTCTTTATATTTAT